ACAACAACAATTTTAACACCAATGTTGTTAACACCACCAATGTTAACAAAAACAACAATGTTAACCCCCAAACAATGTCAATACCAAGAATGTTCACACCAACAATGTTAAAAACAACAACAATGTTAACACCAAAAACGTTAACACAGACAACAATGTTAACAACAAAGACGTTAACACCATCAATGTTAACACCAACAATTTTTAACACCAACCACAATGTTTTAAAACCAGCAATGGTAACACCAGCAATGTTAACAACAACAACAATTTTTAACACCAACAATGTTAACACAAACAATATTAACACAAACAACAATGTTAACACCAACGATGTTAACACCAACGATGTTAACACCAACAATGTTAATATTAACAATGTTAACAACAACAACGATGTTAACACAACAGCAATATTAACAGCAACATCATTGTTAACACCAACGATGTTAACACCAACAATGTTTACACCAACAACAATGTTAACACCAACAATAGTGTTGTTGCTATTATCACCAACAACAATGTTACATTCAAAAAAAGTTAACACCAACCACAATGTTAACACCAATAATGTTAACAACATCATCAGTATTAACACCAACAATGTTAACACCAATAATGTTAACACCAACAATGTTAACAGCAACAACAATGTTAAAACCAATAATGTTAACACCAACAGTATTGACACCAACAATCGTGACACCAACAACAATGTTAACACCAACGATGTTAACACCAACAATGTTAACACAAACAATGTTTAAAAACAAAAACAATGTTAACACAAGAACAATATTAACAGCAACAACAATGTTAACACCAGCAACAATGTTAACTCCAACAATGTTAACACCAACCACAATGTTAACACCAACAATGTTAACAACAACAACAATGTTAACCCAAGAACAATATTAACAGCAACAACATTGTTAACACCAACAACAATGTTAACTCCAACAATGTTTTAAAACCAACAATGTTAACACCCAAAAATGTTTTAAAACCAACAATGTTGACACCAACAATGTTAACAAACCAACAATGTTAACACCAACAATGTTAACACCAACAATGTTGACACCAACAATGTTAACACCAACAATCTTAACACCAACAATGTTAACACCAACAATGTTAACACCAACAATGTTGACACCAACAATGTTAACAACAACAACAATGTTAACACAAGAATAATATTTACAGCAACAACAATGTTAACACTAATGATATTAACATGAACAATATTAACACCAACAATATTAACACCAACAATAATGTTGTTGCTGTTTACGCCAACAACAATGATAGCACCAACAACAGTGTTAACTCCTACAATGTTAACACCAACCACAATGTTAACACCAACAATGTTAACACCAACAATGTTAACAACAACAACAATGTTAACCACAACAGTGTTAACACCAACAATGTTAACACCAACAATGTTAACAACAACAAAAATGTTAACCACAACAGTGTTAACACCAACAATGTTAACACCTTCAATGTTAACAACAACGAAAATGTTAACACCAACAATGTTAACACAAACAATGTTGACACCAATAATGTTAACACCAACAACAATGTTAACACCAACAATGTTATCACCAACAATGTTGCACCCAAAAATGTTAACCCAACAACAATGGATAACATCAATAACAATGTTAAAAACCAACAGCCAATGTTAACACCAACAATGTTAAAACCAACAACAATGTTAACCACAACAACATTATTAACACCAACAACAACGTTAACACCAACAACAATGTTAACACCATCAACAGTGTTAACACCAACAAAAATATTAACACCACCAACAATGCTAATAAAACAATGTTAACACCAACAATAATGTTAACAACCTCAACAATGTTAACACCAACAACAATGTTAACACCAACAACAATGTTAACACCAACAATGATATTAACACTAACAACAATGTTAACACCAACAACAGGGTTAACACCAATAGTGTTAACAAACAACAATGTTAACAACAAAGTTACACCAAAAAACAATGTTAACACCAAACAATGTTTAAATCCAACAATGTTTAAACCAACAATGTTAACACCAACAATGTTAACAACAACAACAATTTTAACACCAATGTTGTTAACACCAACAATGTTAACAACAACAACAATTTTAACACCAATGTTGTTAACACCAACAATGTTAACAAAAACAACAATGTTAACACCAACAATGTTAATTCCAAGAATGTTCACACCAACAATGTTAGCAACAACAACATGTTAACACCAAAAACGTTAACACAGACAACAATGTTAACAACAAAGACGTTAACACCATCAATGTTAACACCAACAATGTTAACACCAACCACAATGTTAACACCAGCAATGGTAACACCAGCAATGTTAACAACAACAACAATTTTAACACCAACAATGTTAACACAAACAATATTAACACAAACAACAATGTTAACACCAACGATCTTAACACCAACGATGTTAACACCAACAATGTTAATACCAACAATGTTAACAACAACAACGATGTTAACACAACAGCAATATTAACAGCAACAACATTGTTAACACCAACGATGTTAACACCAACAATGTTAACACCAACAACAATGTTAACACCAACAACAATGTTAACACCAACAATAATGTTGTTGCTATTATCACCAACAACAATGTTAACTTCAACAAAGTTAACACCAACCACAATGTTAACACCAATAATGTTAACAACATCATCAGTATTAACACCAACAATGTTAACACCAATAATGTTAACACCAACAATGTTAACAACAACAACAATGTTAAAACCAATAATGTTAACACCAACAGTGTTGACACCAACAATGGTGACACCAACAACAATGTTAACACCAACGATGTTAACACCAACAATGTTAACACAAACAATGTTAACAACAAAAACAATGTTAACACAAGAACAATATTAACAGCAACAACAATGTTAACTCCAGCAACAATGTTAACTCCAACACTGTTAACACCAACCACAATTTTAACACCAACAATGTTAACAACAACAACAATGTTAACCCAAGAACAATATTAACAGCAACAACATTGTTAACACCAACAACAATGTAAACTCCAACAATGTTAACACCAACAATGTTAACACCAACAATGTTAACACCAACAATGTTGACACCAACAATGTTAACACCAACAATGTTAACACCAACAATGTTAAACACAACAATGTTAACACCAACAATGTTAACACCAACAATGTTAACACCAACAATGTTGACACCAACAATGTTAACACCAACAATGTTAACACCAACAATGTTGACACCAACAATGTTAACACCAACAATGTTAACACCAACAATGTTAACACCAACAATGTTAACACCAACAATGTTGACAAACCCAAAAATGTTAACACCAACAATGTTGACACCAACAATGTTAACACCAACAATGTTAACACCAACAATGTTTACACCCAAAAATGTTAACACCAACAATCTTAACACCAACAATGTTAACACCAACAATGTTAACACCAACAATGTTGACACCAACAATGTTAACACCAACAATGTTAACACCAACAATGTTAACACCAACAATGTTAACACCAACAATGTTAACACCAACAATGTTGACACCAACAATGTTAACAACAACAACAATGTTAACACAAGAATAATATTTACAGCAACAATATTGATATCACCAACAACAATGTTAACACTAATGATATTAACATGAACAATATTAACACCAACAATATTAACACCAACAATAATGTTGTTGCTGTTTACGCCAACAACAATGATAGCACCAACAACAGTGTTAACTCCTACAATGTTAACACCAACCACAATGTTAACACCAACAATGTTAACACCAACAATGTTAACAACAAAAACAATGTTAACAACAAAGACGTTAACACCCCTCAATGTTAACACCAACAATGTTAACACCAACCACAATGTTAACAACGCCCAATGTTTTAAAACCAACAGCAATGTTAAACCAACAGCAATGTTAAACCCAACAACAATGTTAACACCAACAACAATCTTAAAAACCAACAACAATGTTAACGCCAACAAAGTTAACACATCTTTGTTGCACCAACCCAATTTTTAACACCAACAACCAAAGTTACACCCCCAAAGTTAACACCAACCCTCAATGTCAACACCAACAACAATATTAACACCAACAAAGTTTTAAATCAGCAAAGTTAACACAAGAGCTTTGTTGGGACCCAACCCCCCAATGTTTAAAACCCAAAAACAATGTTATACCAAAAAATGTTTTAACACCAAAAATGAAGTTAACAACCAAAAATGTTGAAACTAAAAAGTTTTTTACACCCAAAAACAATTTTAAACCAAACCCAATGTTAACATTTCAACAATATTAGCATCCACGACAATATTAACACCAACAAGATGTTAACACCATCAACCTGTTAACACCAGAAACAACACTGTTAACAACCTTTAATGTTAAAAGAAAGTTAATGTAATGATGAACATTAGAATAATGTTAGGATAAAGATCGTTTTGTCAAAATGTTAGTAAACATTGTTAACATTAAAAATTAATGTTAAGATAATGTTATCATGAGCAGTAACTTTTATAACAAAAAATAACAACTTACCGATCTTGTAGAACTCCAGCAAGTTTGTCGGAAGTGGTGGTTGTGTCAGCATTATAGTAGTGGTGCCACAGTAGCAGTTGTGTACAGTGGTGGTGGGTGAGGGCAGCCACAGTTCAGGCAGGTGAGGCAGGTACCTGGGTCATCCGGGATTTTAAATCTCCACCTGCAGGAGCTGAGGTGAGGCAGGAAGCAACGCAGCTTCTCACACGTTCATCACTTACTTCAATTGTTTTTCAGTATTGAGTAAGTGCGATATTTGTTTGACAATTACTGGAGACATGTTAGTGTTGTCAAGGAGTTCGAGCCACTGGTCGTTGTCTCTCATACCAGACTCTTGTAGGAGTTGAACCACCTCCCGTGCAGGTGTCTCAGGATCTGGTCTATTACCAGGTGCAACAGCCCAGCCACATGTATCAAAACATTCTGGGACTTGTTCATGTCTGCCACACCTGACCTGATGCTCTTTTCTAACACTCCCTTGACACTGACAGGTGAGGCAGTTGTAGATGAGGCAGGTGTAGCTGAGGCAGGTGTAGCTGAGGCAGGTGTAGCTGAGGCAGGTGTAGCTGAGGCAGGTGTAGCTGAGGCAGTGCAGCTGAGGCAGGTGTAGCTAAGGCAGGTGTAGCTGAGGCAGGTGTAGCTGAGGCAGGTGTAGCTGAGGCAGGTGTAGCTGAGGGAGGTGCAGCTGAGGCAGGTGTAGCTAAGGCAGGTTAGCTGAGGCAGGTGTACCTGAGGCAGGTGTAGCTGAGGCAGATGTAAGTGTAGAATACTGTGGGTTATTAAGCATGTTGACAATAAGAAGCAGCGAAGTAGTCTTGTATACCCGTGTGAGGAGCTGAGTACCGCTCCTTGATCCCCCGCATCGGGCCATGTTGGTCTCAAACAAAGGAACGCTGACAAAACTTCTTTATAAGGTAAACACAGTTCATCACAGGTAGTTAGCAGTTTTATCTACAGTTTTTTTCCTCAAGGGGTTTAAATGATCAACTGAAAGACTTTCTAGCGCTATCTTGTATATTGTTTATCCCAAAAAATTGTTAATGTTAACTTTTAATTTCCTGTCATCCATATTCTTTGTATCTTGATGGTTGAAACAGTCTGTGTATTAACTTGTGTTTACACAGTTGATGAATATTATAATATAGCTCCGTGTGAGTGACAGATGTTAAGTTTAGCTGGTCAGGCTCTTGGTCCCAGATGTATATCATGAGAATCAAATTCATTGGTAGTCTTAAGTGTTCGTGAAGTCTTTCTAACTTCCTCAACTTTGTTACAAGTTCTTCAGTATTTGTGTTATTCCCTGTTTGTTTGGTTATTTCCTGGTGGTTCAGACGCACGAATTGTTCCACATTTGTCTTAGATATACCATGTAGTGTTGCATGTTGCACAGTATACTCTGCAGGGATTGTTCTCCTAAAGTTCTCAACTTTTTCTGGTCGTGAAGTGCACAGAAAAGCAATATTAGAACAGTACTTAAATTCTTGCAATAGACTCTGGACTAGTGTTCTAGAACTTTCATTGTCTTCATCAAGGCCGTCAATTATAATTAAGATCTTGCTAAGCTTCATCAGTTTCTTAAGAATATCCTTGAATTTTATAGCAACTTCTGGCATCAGTCTGTCCAGGAGTTGCTGGTAGCAGGTCATTGTTGGGTCCCGGCACTGTACCCACAGTAGAAGCTCGTAATTATCTAAGTCACTAATATTACCTTGACCTCCCTGAGTCCATTCATCTATTACTAGTGTCACTAGAGTAGTCTTGCCACTGCCAGCAACACCTTCAACCAATATTATATGTGGGGGAGTAGATGTACCTTGTTGTTGTGAGACACTTCTTGTAGAAGTTGGTACTGCTGTAGTCTGAGCAAGGTTAAGAAGGTGTTGATAACTTATATGTTGACCTTGACCTCCACGTTGTCCATGTTTGACCTCAATATCTATAAAGGTTTTGTCTACTTTAAGTTTCAAGTCACTAGTGATAAAAGACACCGGGTTGACGTAGCTGATACTTTGGAAGATCTTCTTAAGTTTGTCACGACTGTCATTAATCATAAGATGTTTGAGCTTGTCGCCACCATACATCAGTATGTCTTCCTCTCCAAGAATCTCATTCATAATGTGGTCCAGGACATCATTCATCTGTGTGACCTCCTGCTTCACTTCATCCTGGTCTCTCCCATACTTCTCTCCAGATGTCTTAAGACAACTATTTAACAACTCCCGTAGTTCTCTTATATTTTCATAATATTTTTCATCAGTAACTGCAAGTTGACCATGAAGAACATTGTTCCTCATGTTCTTTATTGCAGTAATGTGATACTCCATTACGTTGCCTTTAGTGAACCATTTTTCATCATTGAATGGAGCTACATGCTTACAGGCGAGTTTGATGCTAAGATACAACAGTGACACATCAAACTCTGATCCATCTGGACTCTTGTTAATCATCTCTTTTTGTGTTTTTTCAAAGGTTTTTGATGTTACTGGAACATTTATATGTTTTAAGTAATGATCCAGCGTCATACTGGCAGGTTTGTCTGGGGTTCCCCAGAGAAATGTCTTATACAAGACATTTCTGGCACAGATCTTAACAGCCTTGACAAGTCTACATCCATTAAACACTTGATGATCAGCCATAGTGTATTATGACACTTGTACTGTGATGTTAGGAGCTTGATGGAGACCCAGCTGTTGCTACTGCTGCTGCTGCTGCTGTTACTGATGCTGTTGCTACTGCTGTTGCTGCTGTTACTGATGCTGTTGCTACTGCTGTTGCTGCTGTTACTGTTGCTGCTACTGTTGTTTTGCTGCTGCTGTTACTGTTTTCAAGCTGTTGCTCGTTCTGTGCTGCT